TGTGAGTGTAGGTGGGGAGGTAGGGAGGGGATAGGTCAGTCCAGGGAGGATGGACAGGTCAAGGGGGCGGGATGAGGTTAGTCGGTAGGAGATGGAGGTGCGGCTTGAGGTGGGAGGAGTGGATAGGTGGGAGGAAGAACAGGTTAGGGAGGCAGGGACGAGCTGGACTGGTTTTGGGATGCGGTAGGGGGAGGGGAGATTTTGAAACTTGTGAAATCCACATTGATACCATTGGGCTGCAGGGTTCCCAAGCGGAATATGAGTTGCTGTTCCTGCAACCTTCGGGTGGCATCCCCGCCTCTTCGACCTGTTTGTTTCCTCTCCACCTATCCTCTCCTCTATCCATCTTCTAACCGCCTCCCACTCTCTCCCTATTTATTTCAGAACTCCTTTCCCCTCCCCCATTTCTGATGAAGGGTCAAGGCCCGAAACGTCAGCCTCTCTGCTCCTATGATGCTGCTTGACCTGCTGTGTTCATCCAGCCCTGCAGCTTGTTGTCTCGGATTCAACAGCATCTGCATTTCCTACTATCTCTGATACACTTTGGGGTTCTGTTCTTTGAATAAAGTATTAAACAGACTGTTTCTGTGCATGGTTAATATGTATGGCTTTGTGACCCAGCCTCAAGCTCCCTCCTTAGCCACTGTATAAGGTTGAACCATGCAGTTCACAACCTCAGCATCCCATTTGACCCAAAGCCATGCTGCTCACTCCATATCTTCTTTGTGCCAAAGACCAGCTAATTCTGCATCTGTTATACAAGCCATTTCCCATGTGGAAGTACTCAACATGGTAGATATGGAGAAACCATTTCCTTTGACATACAGTCCAGAACAATGGAAAAGGAAAACTGTTTAGTATCAAATCAGGAGGCACTTTTTCACACAAAGTAGCAAAAATTTGAAGCTTTCTTCCTTAAGAGATAGTGAATTTAGATTTTCAAGACTAAAATTGATAAATGTTCCTTTGCTAAAGTTAGCAAGGAACATTGAGCAAAGGCGGGTAGATAGGATTGAGGTATAAGTCAACAATGATCTAATTGAATACAATGGGCTTGATTGGGCTGAATGGCCTGCTCCTGTTTTCCATTGTTCTGGAAAGATCATTTGAACCAAAAGCGACTACAGTTCTTGAGTAAATCTACTGAATTGCTGCACCCTTATTGCATAATGCAGCACTTTACCTCCTGCTGAGCAAGATATTCAGGAATACATGAAGTACCTTGCATATTTTTATTGGATAAGCTATTATGAATATTATGTAACAAAATACATGTGAAAATTAGAATGCAGATCATAATTGTTTTATTAGTTACCTTGAAAACGTACTGCAAATGTTAGTCTTGTCAATATTGAGAGAAAAAATGAGTGCGGGATAAAGGAAGGGTACAATGTTGCAATATTGATATCCATATCATTTTTTGATGAAGAGCACCAAGTACTTGGTCGACACTACATGTGTTCCATAGTGGTCCTTTACTAACCGTGCTTCAACATTTTGAATAACACTGGATAACAATGATTTCCAACATATATAACCAGTATTTTGTTTGAAAGAATTTTATAAATGCGTGCATGATAAAATGACAGCATACTGTTGTGATATTCTCTGAGCAAATACTTAATATTTACATTTATACCTAATTTTCCTCACCCTTTCCTACCATTTCAATCATGATTGCTTGCATTTAATCAGTCTTTTCAGCTCTGAATTTATGTTAACAGATCTGAGCATGATCTCCTATAGCAATGGGCGCTGCCAATGGATATATGCTCAGTGGAGAAGTAAACACATCCCCCACAACCTCTCCCAAAAAAATAGATCTCTTCAGCATTACGAGGCCTGGCTACCAAACAACTAATTTTATTTCATGTTGAAATGGCAGATTTCAAGCATGAGCCAGCACCGGAACTCAAGTATTTCAGCTATAATGTGAGGCTAGCATTCCTGAGCATCAAAGTCAGTGTTTATTCCAGGATGACTTGAATTATGTAGGAATTTAGATAAATGGTCCTCAAGTCTTCACAAGGACTAAATGAAAAGACAAACCGCAAGGCATTCATGTATCTCATAAAACAGCATTCTTTTGTTTCTTTATCTTATTTCAGATCAGATGCAGATGAAAAGCATAAGAGATTTTCTATTTCACTGGAAACTCATGATTATTTTACTGTTACATATTTTCTCCATTTGCATTTGGTTTGTAGTAGTTCCGGCATTGCCTCATACTTCAGCAAATGTATTTTATTACTTAAAATGACTTTGCATGCATTGTAATACCTGGAAGATTTTCACTGGAAGACATAATTTAAAGATATACTTCATAGCTAGAAAATATACCAGAAAAATACACAAAAATGCGAGTGGCTAATATCCGATAAGTAATTACAATGACATGTATATTTAAAACAAATACTCAAAATTATATCAGGAGAAATATCAATAATAATTTGCTTATTCAACAGACTTGCAGTGACCCTACACATTCCTTGTCCTTATGAAGAAGGCAAGCAAAGTGGACTCTTCATATCCCTGTAGTGACACAGGCTAGATTAAATCTGTTCATAAATGTGCAGTGAATAAAGTCTGTTAGTTTTACCAGCCCATTGTTAAACAGACAAGAGCAATGTCTTCCTTATGTTTATCAAATGGATATTTTGACTATTGATGATATGTTAAAATTTGCAGCTTTGGGTAGTTATGAGGGCTTTGCATAAAGTGTTAGTGCCACTGGTTGCAATTTTGCAGAAAGGGGGAGTTGTGAAGATGTGATCCTTTAATCAGATAGAGTCCAAGCCGATGAACTGCATGATCTAAATAAATATAAACATCATAAGCGAAAGCTACTATGCAGCTCATATTTCTGATATCTAAACAGCAATTCATTTATGTTTACATAGTCATTTCTTTTGCAGATTTATTAATCAAAATAGTGGTTTCATTTTATTACCATTATGTTTCTCACACTGGGCTACATCTTCTGTCAAGACAAAATTCCTTGTAGCTTTCATTGATATCAAATAGATAGTGCATAGCTGTAGTGCTATTTTTGTCAGTTACAGTTCCATTCTGCAGAAATTTTCCATGGGTCATCAAGTCTTCATCTTCCTCATTTATCATACCCTCTTTGTCCTGCTCTTCATTGTCTGAGTCTCTAAAGTCTTGAATGAGCCTTCCTGGTTTCTGGGATAAATCTTCTGGCAAATAAATTTTGTCTGCTCTGCAATACATACCAGGGCCATATTGGTCTATTGTATAGTAGTTGTCTTCTTCTTCTTCTTGACAAGAGCTGCCTTTGGCACTCTCCCCATCGGACTGGGATGATATTTTTATTCTGCTCTTTTGAGAAAGGTCAAAGGGCTCTTCCTGCACAAAATTGCTCATTAGATTATTCTGTACAATTCCAATTCGCCCTCTCCGCCTGAAGCCTAAAATGAAGAAATATCAACATGAGCATCATCAAGCCATCATGCAAACCATATGGCTCAACAAAACATGATAGGTAATAAACATAATCTGGTATTTGATTAACAATTTGTGTCTCATAAGGACTGAAAATCAATGTTTCCTGTTGCCACTTGTTAATGTATTGAAGCTTGAAATAATTTGAGCAAGTATATTATTGGGCTGATCTCCACTGATTCTATTTTCTAGATCTATTTTTGTTAATTTCCCTAAATCTCTGAAGCTGTTAGATTCTTGCTGATGGGGCAAGGCGAGGGAGTTGAGGAGATATCAGGAGGAAACCTGGAGAAACACAAGGCTGCCTTTTGAGGTGCGGGAGCATATTTGCTTACCCGGCCCATAGGAAGCCTATAGTTATAAAATACAACTGGCAAAAAGTTTATAAACTGGAAATCAGATGCCAGAAGTGTATGCTTGTCAGCACCTAACAGAAAGAAGTTCCTTTTATTCCTTTATTCATTCACAGGCTGAGGTTGTTGCTGGTGAGGCTGCATTTATTGCCCAGAGGGCAGTTAAGAGTCAACCACATTGCTGTGGGTTCTGGAGTCACCTGTAGGCCAGACCAGGTAAGGATGGCAGTTTTCTTCCCAAAGGATGTTAGTGAACCTGAGGGGTTCTTCCCTGACAATTGACTCTAGGTCATCATTAGATTCTTAATTCTAGATTTTGATTGAACTCAAATTCCACCATCTGCCATGGTGGGATTCGAACCTGGATCTCCAGAACATTATCTGGGTCTCTGGATTAACAGTCCAGTGATAATACCACTAGGCCATTGCCTCTGTTAATGTTAATACTTCAGGTACAGTCCCTTCACGACTTGAGAAATTAATGGAAAATATAACCTGGATTAAATTTTGATTACTGCTCATCATTTACAATGTGGGGAAGCAAAGCAGAGAAGCGTATCAAAGGCAAATACTGATACTTTTATTAGGTTTCGATTGGAAGTTAAACATTTTAATTTACGTCCATTGCTTCAAAATGTTTTTGCCCTTGTGACCTACTCTTTGAGTACAGGATTTGCTTGTTTTATTTACTGATCTCAAGGTCACAGTAATTACAAGTGAATTCATTCACAGTTGGAACAAAAGGGAATTGAGGGCTATAAATAAAAGGGCACATGAGTTTGAATGTTTGATGTTAATCTGTATGTGTTGTGACACTACAAGCCTGCTGGAAATAGTTAAATCTGACAAATTATTTCATCCTGCTGGTCTGTATTATGATTAAGAATACAATTTTGATTTATATATTGCTTTGATTTATTTAGTAGGGCTTTGACCTATTTAGTTGGACCAAGTAATTGTATTTTTTATGTTTTATTATAGTAGATGCCAGCAGATTCTGGATAGAAAAGAAAAGCCTGTTCTGGCTAGAGTCACTACATGGTTTGTGCCACTTATGTCAATAACAGTTACCATAACTTTCCAATTCATGGCACTGGCACTTTCAGTAGGTGGGAAGTTTAGAGCAAAAAGCAATTAGGTGGTGATATTATATAAGTCAACATTAAAAATTAACCAACCATTAATCAGTTTTAAGCATTCATAACTTAATTGCCAGCAACAAATCTTATTAAATTACTTATATCCAGTTTTGATGATAAATAAATAACTGCAACAAACAGGATGCACTGTTCAATATCTCCAAAACCTGGCACCTTTCCTGTTTCTGGCTTGTTATTTTGCATACCAGTCTATTCCTTCTTTTTATTAAAACCTTACTGGTATTACCACAAACAGTGGTCTGTACTATATTAATTTTTGGAGGGAGGTCATATACACAGAAGACCACGTATTTAACATAATTTATAATTGTCCTCTGTACCAGGGATGGCAAGAAAATGCAATCCGTAAAAGGAACTGGCCAGGAAGTTGAATGTTCTTGGGTAAGTTTTTCTCTGAGAGACCTTGGAACTATTGAGACACTGTTGAAGGTGCCATGTATAAAGGTGCCAATAACTGCACCTTTACACGCTCCAAGTTATTATCGTGGCATCATTCTGATTGGAAAAGGCTTCCAATCTTTCTATTAGGAGAAGCAATGACCTAGTGGTATTCTCGCTATACTGTAAATCCAGAGACTCAGGTGATGTTCTGGGGACCCAGGTTCAAATCCCAGCACAGCAGATGGCAGAATTTGAATGCAATAAAATAAAATCTGCAAAGAAGAGTCTAATGATAACTATGTCAATTGTCAGGAAAAACCCATCAGGTTCATTAATGCCCTTTAGGGAAGGAAACTCCCATCCTTACTTGGTTTGGCCTGCATGTATCTCTAGACCACCAGCAATGTGGTTGACTCTTAAAGGCCCTCTAGGCAATTGGGGATGGACAATAAATGCTGGCCTTGCCAACAACACCTTCATCCCATGAATGAATTTTAAAAAAAAGAAATACCCAGCTGTTATTAACTACAGAGAGTTCTTCAGGCAATTTGTGCCCAGTTTCCTGGCAGCAGTCACAATTCATTATTACCATCTTTATTACCTCTAAGCCATCAAATTACAAAATGGCTACTGACAATTTCAGACTTTGCAAGCCAACTTTGCTAGCATCAGAGGCATTGTAGAGCAGACACTGATCAATACAAATGCTTCTGCTGCCTGAACCAACCAGTACAGCCCTGATCTAGATTTGTGATTGTATCTTGCATTTTGTGTAACTTCTTTGCAATGAGGGGACAGTATCTGGGGGACAGGTCATACAGCAGCATGGAATGTATGAGGAATAGGAGCAAGAGCTGGAAGAGGAGGGAACAGAGGAACAGCAGCAGCTTGAATCATAGAATCATAGAATCCCTACAGTGTGGAAACAGGCCCTTTGGCCTAACAAGTCCACACCGAACCTCAGAGCATCCCACCCAGACCCATCCCCCTATAACCCACCTAAACTACACCTCCCTGAACACTACGGGCAATTTAGCATGGCCAATCCACCTAGCCTGTACATCTTTGGAGTGTGGGAGGAAACCCACGCAGACACGGGGAGAATGTGCAAACTCCACACAGACAGTCGCCCGAGGCTGAAATCGAACCCGGGTCCCTGGCGCTGTGAGGCAGCAGTGCTAACCACTGTGCCACCGTGCTGAAGAAAATAAAGAAACAGTGGGAGGGGTAGAGGGAGGAAGAAGGGAAATAGAAATAAAGGAAGAGAAAGAGGAACGATGGAGAAGCGAGAGGAGAGAAGAAATGGAGACTAAGAAAGGAGAGAAAGGGCAGGAAAAAGAGATAATAAAAAGAAATAGAGAACACAGAGAGAAAACCTTCAAAATATTCACTGCATTCATTCAGGTGCAATCTTTCTACATGTGTTTACTACAATGTTGAAACCATAATTATATTTCATTAAAATTTGCATTCTTACTTTGTGAGTCAGACCCTCCGTCCATGACTCCATGTTTAACCTTCATATGACGAGTAAGATTTCCCTTCAGGGTAAATTTGCTGGGACAGTACAAACATTTGAATGGTTTGCTGTCAGAATGTAGGTGCATGTGTCCCATCAAATTGTGCATCCGGTTAAACTCCTTCCCACACAACTGTCAATAGAAATGAACAAACAATTTAATTTAGATTTGATTATTAATACTAAAGAATGCAGTAATCTGTTGTGATGTTAAACCAGACAGATTTTTTTTTAGCAGTGTGGTACGCCACAAAAAAATATAGCTATAGCCTTATTCTCATCTCCAAGACTCCTGTCGGTGTTAATGTTGCTATGCCTCAATACTTAGTATTATTTCAAAGGAATCTGTAAACTGTTGGCGGTAAAGTTTTGCACTTGACTTGTGGGACTTGCTGATAGATTTGTTGCCTTTTATTCCGAACTGCATACACAGAAAGCTTATTACTTCTTATTGCACCAGGGCTGCTTCCATATCCCCAAGGAACATGAAAAGTAAAGACAATCTCTGAACTACATGGTGGAAAATTGATTATGAAACTCCATGTGCCTTTCACAGAGGAAAGCTATGTTAAAATTTGTCTGAGAATCTGCATAATATTTGCAATTTAATGCCTTTCTCTGTGACAGGTTTGCTGGCTGGGGGCATTTAATGAGGCAGCACATTGGTGGGTGACTAGCCTGCCATCTTCCCACAGACATTCTTCCTGCCTACTGCCAATGGAGGCAGTCAATGGCAATGTATGCCATCTAAGTTGCTCATCCTGCCAATGCTGGCATTTACACAGTCACTCTAAAGGGATCCCAACAAGCAAACCCATGAGCAGTTGCTTACAGGTTTCTGAGGTGGGTGCATCATTCAAAGGTGCTCAGTGCCTGTTTGAATTACAGGGCATCCAGAAATAAAGAGTGGGTATGGTGCCCAGGAGAGCCAGTCCATTTACTCTTACTTGCAACCACCCACCCCAATGATCCATACCCTGCCTTACCCATCCTCCCATCACTCACCTATGGACTGGGTTTCTGATAATCCTGGTCCTTGAGTCAGTGTCGTACTGGCAACAGCCACTGCTTTCCTGTGGTGCTGCCACCCAGAGAGTAAAACCAGTAATACTTGGAAATGACTGTACTGGTCATACTGGACCTCTGCTTAGAGATACAAGATAAATTAGACCTGTGTGTGTGTGCCATTCATAAGCTTTACTGGTTTTTCTTTGCACTCAGTGAAGATGCTGGCCTCAACTCTCAGTGAGTGGCACTTCCACCTCCAGGTAACTTCACCCCACAAATGGTCCACTGCTGTCCAGTCAACAGCCTGGCATGACACTTGATGAAGTGGGCCTACCTGGGAAAGTAGTGACACTCCTATCTTAGGTGTCATCTGTTCAAGGAAAAGGATCACTTTATATCCTGAGATGGTAGCAAAATGCACTTTTGTAGGGAATGCGAACTTTCCAGCTTCTGTTCTGTCCCACTTTATCTTTTGTTCCGTAGGCCGTAAATCTGCTTTTAGGGCCTTCTTCCCACTCTCCCCTTTTGGTTGCTTCTTTAAGGGTTCTTCTTTCCATCTTTATTGGTGTTCCAAGAGGTGTGATTTCCCTTAATTGCATTTCCAACTTCACCCCTTTTACCAGAGATCTTACCAGGACTCAGGTAATTCTCATGAGTTGTGACCCAGGAAACTGGGCAATAGCAAGTTGAGCCAGGAGACGGAAATGACCCCCACATCCAGCAGCCCTCGAGGAATATTCGGTTTACATTCAATCTGAGTGTAATAGATTGAGAGACCTGAGCAAACCAGCTGAGGGCCTAAAGTGAGTTGGAGGTTGTACACACATCATCTCCTGTATGTTGTGAGTATCATTTTCCCAATTAATATGAAATTAGAATAAAACCAAACAATTTTAGTCTCTAAATAAAAGCAAAACACTGAGGATGCTGGAGATCTGAAATGAAAACAGAAAGTGTTGGAGGAATACAGTAGGAATTGAAGAAGACTCACACTGAACTCAAAACATTAACTCTTTTTCTCTCTCCACAGATGCTGCCAGACCCACTCGGTTTCTCAACATTGTTTTTATGTAGGTTTAGTTCTAATTGCTTGAAGTACAAACAAGCTGAAATATCACCAACTGCTACGTAGCATTTATTCATTGATTTAAAAATGACTGAAATCCACGTCAAGCTCTCAAACATCAGGTCTCAGAAAAGATACTGAAAGTACATCAGGAACTTTTCCACACATCATAGATGAGTCACCAGGTGCATGTCTGACCACCTGCTAGTAGTTAGTTATGAAATACCATTTTTAAGAGCTGCCTAGAAAATGTTGCTTTCTGAAAGAAGGAAACCTTGTACAAAGGGAGAAAGTACTAAAATAACACTGAGATATTATTACTGCTATATTACTAATACTGATAAATTACTGAGGGACTATTAGCACTGTTATTTACTAATACTGATAAATTACTGAAGAACTATACCTGAGGAGAATGGGAGATAACAAGGTGTAGAGCTGGATGAACACAGCAGGCCAAGCAGCATCAGAGGAGCAGGAAAGCTGACGTTTCGGGCCTAGACCCTTCTTCAGAAATGGGGGAGGGGAA